TTCAATGGCAAAATGGTGGCCGACCTCCGTCGGCCGCCATTTTGCCATTGAAGTTATTAGAAGCTGCATTAATGGAGATAAAAATACGATTTCAGTTCGTGCTGAAACTTTCGTGTCTAATTCGGATCTCTTGTGCTACATTTGGGCGTTCAATGGGCGTTCGACAATACATATTTTATTTTCGCAATTAAAAGAAGAAGGTGATTTTTTTTTTTAGCGTGGAGGGAGGGAGGGGGGGGGGGGTACTTGATTATTTTAGGGTCTCGCTGATGCCTCTTTGCGCCATATCTCCCTTTGCACAGCAATTTTCTTCACCTGCAAATTTCGTGCTGATATTTTGTTGTTTGTATCGTTTGGAATGGGCATTTTCCGCAAATGTTTGGCGCCATCTATCGGCAAGATGGAGAGGCGTTTTTGATGGAATGCCTTGCTTCCGGTTCTGCACTCTCCAAGCTATGTTGGCTCTCTGAACGCGGTCGGGAAATGCGCTCACTGCTCAGCGTTTGTTCTTCCTCTATCCAACACAATCGACGAGCAGATTTGTTTTCAATTAATGCGTTAACTACGGACGACTTCGTCCGTTTGTACATTTTTTTTTTTTTTTTTTTCTGAATGAATGGACGACTGACTTTGCTGTGGCGCCCGTGGTAACTGAAGACACAGTTGAAGCTCTCTTAGACCTATGAGAAAGTACAAACGGTTACATTAAACTAGGATTCATGTCATATACAGTACCGGCAGTAAATTCAGAAAATATTCGAAACAAAGTTACAGTTAAGGAAAGCCTTTTTTTTAATTGCAAGCTATTTGTTTAATTTGCTCAAAAATTTCAATTGGAAAGATGTATTCGCATAAATGTGAAAGCTTACTGTAAAGCGTCCGAAAAACACCTGCGCCTGAACGTACCAATATAATTCTCATCAAAGGTGTATTTTAGTGGTGGATTTCACCTTGTGAAATTTCAACGCGTAGCTCCATTTCTTATATAAAATGAGAGCAACAAACTTGGCCAGGTCAACGGCAGACTTGTTCACCGACTATAGGCCCGTAGCTCTCAAGTTTTGAACAGCGCTCCAAGCGAGCAAAATAGAATATTTGGCTCGCGTTTACAACGGGCGTCATTACGCTTCCCGGCTACAGTTTTTTATACTCCGCTCCATTCTAAGTGCCAGCGAAGCAGAGGCTACAAGAGCGAGCTCTGAGCTTGCAGTGTTCCTTCCAAGCACGCGCGCTCGTGCAGAGCGAGCATCGTTCAGGGGAACATGTTTTTGCAAGTAGCTTCAGCTTCTATCACGTAAACTGAAACATACAGGGTGTCACAAAAGAAAATTTACACGGTCTTTTTTACCGCAAAAATAAACTAGGCATCGCCGAACGCTCATTCTCTGCCCAAAGGTAGAGCTAGAGGTCACAACCAGATGCCAAAGTTTCAGCCCGATCCGATAACTTAATCAAAAGTTATAAGTGATTCTCTGAAAAGTTCAAGGGGAAAATGGCGGCAGACGGAGTTTTCAAACACATGGGGCTCTATGGCACCAGAAACCGAAAACGGGCAAAAATGGGCTCCATTTTCCCATTCAAATTTTCAGAAAATCAGTTATAACTTTTGGTTAAGTAATCGGATCGGGCTGAAACTTTGGCATCTGGTTGTGACCTCTAGCTCTACCTTTGGGCGGAGAATGAGCGCTCGGTGATGCCTAGTTTATTTTTGCGGTAAAAAAGACCGCGTAAATTTTCTTTTGTGACACCCTGTATATACGGGCTCACGGAAGCTATGAAAGAACACAATAAAATAATAAAGCTGGATGGGACACTGAAACCGCAAGCTGCATATTTTTTTTTTTTTTTTTTAGTTTCTTTTTTAGACGTTTTATTACCGAGCGTCTACAGATGCTGACAGATGCTTGCATTCGAACGTGGCACGTGCAAAATCGAACGTTACAGCGCCGCCTGGATAGTGCTGCCAGCGTAACATAGTCGCGTCTTGCGGACGCGCTCGCGCCCCCTGCCCGAGAGCAACGGGTCTATACTAAATGTCGCTTGCGAGCGCCGCTGGCCCTCGCGAGTTTGTTTTTCTCGTTTTTTACTGGGAAAAAGCCACTTTGAAATTTCACAAGGTCAAATTAATCACTAAAACACTTCCTTAATAAATATTTAAAATGTATACGTGCAGCCACCGATTTCTGAGCGAGCCTCGTCATTATGTCACCCCACTTCAGGCTACAGCTGTGTGTGACTGTAAGTCATCAAGAAAAAAACACAAAATCGGCCACACCTGTTTTCATTTTTTTTATTTTTAGTTTAGCGCCTGTAGACTATGTTGCAAACGTAATTTTTGCTTACTCGATACATACACGAGGACAACACATCAAGATGATTGTTTCCTCTTTCTTATTTAACCACAGGACCAGCACATGCGGTCGTGGTAGCGATAGATCTGCTCCCATTTCACTTTCTGGGTAAGCACGTAGCAACAAACTGTGCAGCATAGCCACTTTACCTCAATGATTTATAAATATATGAAAACTGTGGGTTATTCCAATGTTGACAACAACCAAAAAGCAGACGGGCAGTTCGCGTAGCAACGCGAGACCGTCCCTTTGGTAAAAAACAAAGCGTGCCAGTGAAACGCACCATCGCAGAAACGCCAACTCCGAGGCGCTCGCTCTGCGTGGCACATAAGTGACACGACAGCACACCTAACCAATCTGTTGACTTGTATTCACACACAAATAAAAAATGAAGGAGCAAAAACATGAACCTTCCTTGAAGTGGAAACTGCAAACGCGGTAGTGCTTTGAAGGCTGACTTTACGAGCTGTTTCGCTGGATCGCCCGAATCCAGAGCTGCCGCTTCGTCGAGTGCAGGCTACTAGAGAATGAAACCCAAAAAACCTTAAGCCGCGACAACGCTGGCTGTCGTTGCTGCAGCCAGCAACAAAACAGCATTAGGTCCTGTCGGAGAGCTTCGAAACGCGCGACCAGAGCTGATTCTTGCAGCAGCCCCGAGCCGGACGTACCACGCTACCAAAAATGGCGGACCCCTGTCTGCTGCTGCCGCGCATGCGCCGTGGAAACCCCGGAAAAGGCCCATTGTATTCACCATACCGCGTCAACCCCTTTTGAATGTGTTAAAAGTCAGTTTATAGGAATTATCTACTACAGATATTTTGGGGGCAAGTGTTGCTACAGCTATGACAGATTACTTCAGGGACTGGAATTATGTTATTTGCTTAATAAACGCCGTTTATATGATTTATTGTCTTTACATAAGGTTGTCACGCATCTGTTGACACATCACTTTTAAACCCTGTTTGCTTTCACGCCTCCTCTCGGATCAGTCGCTCTCAATTCTATTTTTATCCCTTGATTTTGTTCGATTTGCGGCCAATTACAAGAATGCAACTCGAATATAACAAGCTAGTCTAATCTGCAAAATATATTTTTTTGACATGAACACGTTTCGACGAGCGATCGACTGCTTGACTTTTCTATTTTTCTGCTTGTACGTTTTTTTCTGTTTTTTTTTTTTTTCCTATTAGCGAGTACCACTTTTTAAACTTTGTGCTGTTTGTGGAAAGACGCCAAAAAGATAATTATCAACTTTCTGTGCACGTTGCATTACGGTATGCCATAACTAAGTCTTTATAGAATACGACTGAGACCGGCACAGCAAGGCGAAAGTTCATTTCCACACCTTAGCAGAACTGATCTGAAAGTCTTTTTTAGAGCGCAGCTCTTAGGCGCGCGTTTCCGGCTTGAGCGGCGTCGGCGTCACCGTCGGCGTAACCGCGCGGTGCATTATGGGAAATGTCCCTTAATGCAAAATCACGTCACGTGTTGCATTATGAGAAACGTCCCATGATGCAACGGGCGGGGAGGAGGAGGAGGGGGATGAGGGAGGAGGAGGTGGTGGGGAAGGGGAGGAGGAGGAGGGAAGGAGGGGAAGGAGTAGGGAGGAGGGGAGGAGAAGGAAAGAGGTAAGGAAAAGGGATAAGGAGGAGGAGAGAAGGGAGAAGGACAGGAGGAGGGGAGGATACGGATGAGGAGGAGGGTCATACCCTCCCCTCAGCACCCTCCCCTTCTCCTCCACCTCAAGAGCTGCGCTCTAATTCGGCGTTACAGGAAGTTGTAAACGTCTTTATTGTTAGAGCGCAGCTCTTAGGCGCCCGTTTCCGGCTTGAGCGGCGTAGGCCGTCGCCGTCGGCGTAACCGCGCGGTGCATTATGGGTAAATTTCCCCGCTAAATCAAGCGGAAAAATTTCCCCTAAATGGACGGCGAGCAGGAGGGGAGGGGCATAGCCTCCTCTCCGTACCTTCCCCTCCTCCTTTTCAAGAGCTGTGCTCTAATTCGGCGTTACAGGGAGTTGAAAACGGCTTTCATTTTTTTTTAATATATATTATCTTCCCCCAGATGTTAAAAAATAGCATTACGTATACCTTAAACTTCAGTGTAATTGTTTGCTTGTCTAAGCCGCAATGCGATGCACAAAGAGTTGACCCTAAAATAGTTGCCCATATCTTCCTTCGTAGTTCAGAAAGTTTCTTCACAGACCTACGTGTTTTTTTTTTATTCTGCATTAAGCCCATACCTTGTGTATCATTGGTCATATATTTGGCGCATCACTAGTAGTTATTTTGTATTTCACTGCTCTAGCTTATTTTAGAAGCGGAAAATTTCATTTTAAGATAATTATTTTAATCATTCTTTCATCGCTACCTTTTAGGAATTAAGAGGCATGTTTCTTTACGATACTCCATTCACGCGACACTAGACATAATCGGTATTGTTAAATATATTGAGAAGAGAGCGAGGTTTAATAAACAAAATGAGGAAATTATCATTCTGCTTTCCTGAGACGAATATTTATTGAACTTCGTTACTTTTCTTTTTCGTGAGACTGATTTGTTGCAGTTTTATTGTTTCAAGGGCTGTCTCAAACCTGCAGGCTATATAAAAAAAAAACTTCCGTTTCTGTTTTGTTTTTTTTTTTGTTATAGGTAAGGAACGAATTCCACAGCTGCTCGGTTGTGGGTTCACAAATGTTCAAGACAAAATGAGGGGGGTAAGTAGACTACTGAAACGCCCACGCCAGCCCGTTTGCGAAGTTCCTTTTTTTTATTTCTATCAATTTTTTAACCGTAATACTGCGTCTAATTTGAATTGCTTATTCCTCTTGTAATGTGTTTTTTCACAATTTATTTTATATAACTTTAGTATACTTTCACTTTATTGGTACTTTTATTTTTACTCTGCTTATTGGCGACGAGCTGTTTCGGTGGCGCCACCTTGCTGGCGTCCTCCTGTGACGGAGCAGGTAGGGTGCGAGCAGGCGACGCGCTATGTCAATGCACGGAGTGGCTATGTCAGTTCGGATGTATACCGATTAAAAACGGTCTGTTTATTAAAGAAACGCGTACGACATTTTTTGTGAGTGATCTTTCTAAACAATAATAGCGGGGGAGGGCCTCGAATTTGCTTTTTATATTAGAAAAATGTAAAATGTTAAAAAAAAAGTCTCGAGCTCAACATTACAGATTGCACTGCGTGCATGAGGGCTATTCACAGCCTCCCTGATTCTTGTTTTTGTCGGATCTGCGGAGGCTACTGTAGAAAAAGGTTTTGCATTCACCACGAAGAGTAAGTGACGTGCTGTCTTCTTAGCTGTGCACGCGCGCACAATTGTGTTGCAAAGCGCCGCACACTAATTTTAGCTACATTCAGCTTACTGATACAGACGCTTCTATCCAGATGTGACTCGAATGTTGCTGACGAACAAATGCTCGTCAGCAACTGACGCTTAGCCCCTCCCGGATCAAATACGAGGCAAAGTTTGTCACATCGCGACTTCTGCTCGGAAAAAAAACATATTTTTTATAAATTCTTAAATTGTCGGATCGCCCGGCGAATTTAAACGATTGATTAATTCGTTCTATCCAATTTTTACTTGAATTATTTACAAATTTAAAATCGCTCCCCGAGAAGCGCATCACGCACTCTGCACATCTGGGTACGTAAACTTGAACATACAAACGGCAGTAATTCATAGCTGCATACCTCATTTTTTGGGACGCTGAAGAGTCTTCAACTTAATTACTGGATTTAGGGCCTCAATCGCGAGGGGGCCTCGCACGTTTCGCGTCGAGCGGTAGAATAAGCAGGCATTTGATTGAAACGACACTGGAAGCTAGCCACCGCTTCTTCCTCTCAGTTATTGTGAGGAAATCGTTGTTTACTGGTTTACAAAATTCAAAAAGGAATCAATTCGGAAATAGTGAGAGACCGGTACTCACAGAACACATTGAAATCGACAGGATACACGGAGTCGCTTCCGATGAAGTGTTTGCTGCACACGCGAGTGGCTCTCAAATTTTGCTTTCTTATTTTCAGTTTGATGAGACATTCCTTTCTCAGTTTTCTTTTGTCCAAATCATAAAACGAATACACTCTATTCGCCGGGGTAGATGATGTAGTGGGGTGTAGCACTGAATATTCTATTTTTATTATCTAGCTTTGGTCGTTAAATAAATACGTTTCAAAGCAAAATGTCATCCAGCTTTTTGTGTTGGGGTACAAAACAGCACACCACCATCCCATCGCTTCGACACCTCAGCGCCAAAAGTATTTGTTAGCACGACTAGGCGTGCCACGGTTTAAGCTTTTGTAAAATGTCCTACTGCAAATATGGCTTCACCAAATAAACTCAAGACGTGAAACAGGCTTTGCCGCGCGCTATCCAAAACGCGCATGACGCGACCTGACGAGCCGAGGGGTCCAAGATCTGCGCGGTCTGTCGCAGTCTGTCCTACCCGTGACGTCAGAAACGATGGTGATGGTAGCTAGAAAAGCGCCCCCTGCAGTTCGCGCACGCCGCCAATAGCATTAAATGTTGCTTATTCTTTTCACTTCCTTTTCCTCGGTGACAGCGCACTCCATTTTCGTACCCATAGAAAAGCATGCGTTAACCTTTTGGGGGTTGGTACATACTGCTTGCCACAAGGACGACCAACCAGACTTAGTACAAAAGCAGTCCTGTCATAAGGAGCGTCCATACCACTTCAGTTCTGGCTATGAGTTATTTAATCAAACGTGAAAACAGCGCAAAACATTGAACAAAGGACAAGTGAAAGAAGTGCACGGACAAAGCGCTGACTGTCAACTAAAGTTTAATTTTCAGGCGAACCAGAAAAATAAACACAGAGCATAGGAAAGAACCAATAAAGACACAAAAAATTATACAACCCAACCGACAGGATTTTTACAACGTCATCACCCTCACACATGCCTGCTATTCTCCCTGATAAAAAGGACCTCATCATCCCCCAAGTGCACCGACGGTGCGCTCACACATTGCCCTTCCCCTTTATGTAAAATGAAAAATGCCTCTTGAATCTCCCTGGCGGTCTTACTTTTATTGCGCGCCAAGATCGTCAAGTCATGAAAAACAGGTACGCAGCCGCACCTACTGCAATGTACCGCTAAGTGGCCAGCGGGGGAGGAACGGAGGGAAAGGGAATGCTCCCTCGCCCTCTCGTTCACGCACCTCCCCGTTTGTCCAATGTACACCCTATCACATGTGAAGGGGATCTGATACTCCTTTTGTACCATGCGCAGTGGGGGTTGTGTATCAGATCCCCTTCACATGTGGTAGGGTGTACATTGGACAAACGGGGAGGTGCGTGAACGAGAGGGCGAGGGAACATTCCCTTTCCCTCCGTTCCTCCCCCGCTGGCCACTTAGCGGTACATTGCAGTAGGTGCGGCTGCGAACCTGTTTTTCATGACTTGACGATCTTGGCGCGCAATAAAAGTAAGACCTCCAGGGAGATTAAAGAGGCATTTTTCATTTTATCTAAAGGGGAAGGGCAATGTGTGAGCGCACCGTCGGTGCACTTGGGGGATGATGAGGTCCTTTTTATCAGGGAGAATGGCAGGCATGTGTGAGGGTGATGACGTGTAGAAATCCTGCGGGTTGGGTTGTATAATTTTTTGTGTCTTTATTGGTTCTTTCCTATGCTCTGTGTTTATTTTTCTGGTTCGCCTGAAAATTAAACTTTAGTTGACAGTCAGCGCTTTGTCCGTGCACTTCTTTCACTTGTCCTTTGTTCAATTTTTTGCGCTGTTTTCACGTTTGACGATGTTAAACCAACTATACTTCGTCTCACCCTACGATGGACTAAAGGCAAAAGCTAAGGACCACCAGATCCAATCACGATCCACTTAGAAATTTCGTATTGCGCTTTGATGCACGTGTCAGTGCCCGCGTCTCGGATCACTGATTGGGATTGGCGGACAGTGGTTCGAATCGAAATAGCACTGAGTGAATAAACAATTTTACATTTCAAAAAAAAAAAAAGGCTGTTTGCAGTGTCGAAGCTATAGAAATGATGCTGTGTTTTTGGGTTTGGAGCATTATTCGTCCACCCCTAATCAATGCTAGGCATGTCATAGTGTAGCGTGGAATGCGATTGGACCTGGCGGCCCGTGGCTTTGGCCTTTAGTCCATTCTAGGATGAGACAAAGTATAGCCCAACTTACCGCCTTGTTGAGTGACTTAACACCGCCACGAGGCTTGCAGATTTCGCAACGTCGACGTCCGTGTAGTCGAACTCCAGTACCCCGATCGACGCCTCCTTCTTTTTCTGTGTAGCCTGCAGACGTCTATAGATGATTGTAAGCAAGGTGACTGACCGCCGCCATGTCTCTGCTCGTGCGGTAAAACCCGTGCAATTGCAAGCTTCCCAAAGCTATGTTCACGTGCATTCTGCACGTGCATGCAGGCATGGGGCATCAGTCGGGCACCATGCTTGCAATTTTCTAAAACGACTGGGCGTGTCTTTCGGATGCCCGGCCTCCAGCACGCGCTTGTTGCCTTTCAAGACGCCAAAGCATTCTCGAAGGTATACGAAGCTTGCGCTTGAGGGTGGGACAACTGAAACATTTCCCCCTCACTAGAGTTTTAGTAGATCGTTCCGATACCTCCGATAGCCCCGATAACGATACTATGCATGCGCAAGGGAGGCGGTGGCGGAGTATCGGGTATCGTTATCGGAGCCATGGGAACGATCTACTAAAACTCTCTACTATCTTCTTCTAATTAAAGGGGCGATGCAACAAATTTTGTACTTTGCTCAAGTACCGCTTAAAACGGATCCCTGACGTTAATTACCAATCAAACGCGCGTTCGTTTTTCACCCCACGCAATAGAAGTCCCAGAAAAAAAAAATTAAAGAAAAACGAGCACCATTCACCCCCTCAACTCGCAGCCAGAACAAGCGGCCACATGATCTGTAGCCGATTATATGCCGCCAATGTTGATCATAGCCACGCGGTGGGCCCGGTTGGCAAAGCGCAGGACACGCGCTGAGTTTCAGGCATTGTTATGGCTCGGCTATTGTCGTCGTTGCAGCGATTGGACACGGGCCACTACCCGAATGCTTCTCGAGCTATCGATTATCACGAGCCCAAATCAAGTGCCCACGCAATGCTCGCGTCCAATCTATGAACCACATTCAAATATCGTCGCTTCGTCATTCCGAAGCGACGAACCGCGTTCTGGGTTTGAGGAAATCGCACGCTGGGCTGACGACACGTAAATATTAGAATAGTGTATAGTTAACGGATATTATGGTCGTCGCCCTTTTATTCGGTGTCAATGGTTAAATGGTCCGGGTCGGGAGGCGGAAAAAAAAAAAACAGGGTGCAAAAGTTGGACGTTTGCCATGTCGTGAACAGCGCACTGCTCGACCATAGCTGCTTCGTTTTAAAATGTACCTTTTTCCAGTAAGCCTCTCTGCATGCATTCACGCCCTCCCCTGACTCCTGCTTACAGCTGTCTCCATTTTCGGAAGGCACCGTTCCGCACCCATCTCTGCTCCTATTTCGTTTTTTTGTAACAATGTTTTTAGCATATGTAGTACAGTACGGGGTGTGAAAAGCAATAAAAAACCGATTCAACGGCAGGATGCCAACGTGTTGTGGCAAGGGAAGGAACTCTGGGCTCTCCCTAATCTTTACTTCGCGGGCGACCTCTCAGACGGTGCTCGTGGCTTGAAAATGGTCCACT